TCAGCCATGCTGATGGAAAGCAAAAAAAAAGGTTCTTTAAGATGATTAATAGAGAACAGTTTCATTTTAGAGTCTGTTAACAACAGGTTGTAGGTCTTTTTTTATGTCACATTAGCTCTTGTCAGATCAGAAAATAATATTCTGCTTCATTTTTCAACAAAGTCCAGAGTGGCAGTTGACGAGAGAAAATTTTGTCATTTCATAACTGTCTCTACCAAAAAGGACAGATGAATGGTTTTGAGTTTTAAAATGTCAATGAAAAAAAAAAAGAATCTTTTAGTGAAATGCTTCAAAGCAATCCACTCAAAAATTAGTTTCTATAATCCTGGACATGGGCCAATATATAAAAGTATACTTAAGGTTGGCAATTTCAGGACCTGATTATGCTTACAGATAGATTGTGTGATGTATTAATATATAATATTGCTTTCATAAAATTTTGAATTTAAAACAAGATTTTTACTTATAACCACACCATTCATTTATCTCAGAGGTAAATCTTATATATATATATATATATATATATATATGTGTGTGTGTTTCAGAGATTACATACTGTAATGGAAAGGCCACGATAAATAAATAATAAACTTTTCTTTAATCTAAATGAGATCTAAACAATGGGATATAATGGACTGTCCAGTTTGTTCTTAACTAACCCTGCTCTCTACCCTGAAAGAAGCCATGTATAAATAATTAACTTTTTTGATATTTGTGAGGAGGAGGAGGTCACTAGTATCAAAAAGTTGGGATATAATTATTGATAAAAAACACACACATGCATATAGGCAGCAATAATTCATTCAAATGAGTTTTGTTGAATTCAACAAACAAAATCTGTCTGCTTAATTTAATGTTGTATATTGGAAGCAAAATCATGGATAAACTGTTAATATTTTAGTTCAAGTAGTTTTAACTGTCAGTATGGTAGACAAAATTTTGTTACCTATATGCATATATGTACACACACACACATATATATATATATGTATGTATATATGATAATATAGTTTTAAGGTATGCTACATTTATGGATAAAAGTGCTCAATATCAAGTATAGAGCACATGTAAGTGTAAAAGTGGACACCGAGCAGCGACAGTATGTTTCATGCTTGAACGCAATCTTCAAGACCGAAAATTATGTTCAAAGATTGAAACAGATTGTTGCAACTTGGTGTTGACTTCAGTGTCCACTTTAATATATATACATATATGTGTGTGTATTTAGGCATCAAGAATTCATCGAAACAAAACTTATTAAATTCCACTGAATGAGGGAGGTGTTGTACATCAGAATTTAAGTTATGAACAAATTGTCCCAAAGAAATTTTTTCATTGTTTCCAAGTCTATTTGAAAAGATATAAAAAGTTGAATAGACAAACCATGACAGTGGAATTTAATAAATTTTCTATGAGAGTCCAGTTGCTCAGTTCCGGCACATGAGAGTCCGGTTGCTCAGTTCTTAGAACCAAACAGCCATCCTATCTGCACATAGAAATTAATTATAGTGGTGAAGGCTTGTGTGGAACCGACCACACTTTTTGGAAGAACTAAATACAGAGAAACTGGTGCATATATTGTGCCACAAGGTCACCAAACAACCCTCATCATGTTTTGAATTTTGAGTTGTCCCACTAGACTAGTTGCAACCCAATGCCATAGGAGCCAATCTGTTCTGATATTTACCCATACCTGGGGAGAGAAGAGATGGATTCATATCTTTCACAAGGTTATTTGCACATCAGTGAACGTAACAAACTTGACTGGGATTTGAACTCTATTCTCCAATTTCTCAATCCAAGCTGCTATCTATTACACCACCATACATGTTTGGAGAAAGATATACCAGGTGTAACAGCAAAATTGTTCATTTGTTAGATTAATCATTTCTAAGATACAATTGTTCAAAGCTTAAAGATATCTTACTGGAATTTTCTGAGGTTTTATAACACTTTTGGATCCTACTTTGAACAATAAGAATGTATAATTTCTTTCTAAGCTTAGCCAAAGAATCATGATGAAATTGATCATAAAAGGAAAATGACATGTTCATCATTAATTAATCATAGCTAAGGATCAGAAGCCCATGAAGTATTGAAATAAAGTTCAAATATATATATAATCATTTATTCGAAAATTATAACATAAAAATCACTACAAAAATAGCCATTTTGTTTCAACACTTCTGGTGTCTTATCAAGTGATGGCATTGAATGTAGAATAAAGGGTTTTAAAAGGTTCAAATCAATCAAACATCCCTCACAAGGGGAAACACTGTTACATAAGCTGGAATGTCCAATCAAAATACAAGTTTATGAGAATTCAAAAAACTTGACAATGGACTTTAAGGTTATAATAATTATTTAATGTTAGGGTTAGACTAAAGTAGAATTCATTCTAACTGATAAATATTAAATTATACTATAAAATTTAAAATTAAAAATTACCAATTTTAAATTTAATCTATATTAAGTATAAATTATAAAGTTATTTAAAGAAGAAACTGAGGAAAAAAATACATATATTTTTCTATTTATTTTGTTTTTATTGAAATTAAGTTGGAATAAAGGTTAAGATCCAATGCTGCTCTGAACTTCATGACAACGTAGATACATTTGAAGCAAGAACATGGGAAGGGGAGGATGAAATCTTGCAAAATACAATACATACACAATCAGATTATAATACATAAACACACAAAAAAATCTCCACGACCCTTAAAAAAAAACAAAAACAACAACATACATATATAATGAAAGGTACACATAAGTGACCATACACACAGACACCGCGACAAAGACACGTACATACACACACATACATTGACAAAGACATGCCTATACACCCACCAAGAAATATTCAAGTTTGAAAGTATCATTAAATGAATTCTAACTGCTTATTAAAATATAAATTATATGCGTAAAGATACATAGATAAAAATGGTAAAATAGATAAAACTCAACATGGGCTGAACAGAATAACAAACAATAGGGAAAAAGAAACCTAAAACATATAGACATGGACAGAAAAATAGATATATACGCATAAAAATAACACCATCTAATATATAAAAAAGAAAACTCCAAACACACAAATACATATATAAATATTTCATATATACCTATATATGCACTAGTGCATATACATGAGTACAAAAATATAACAATATGAGAAAGAAAATAAAAAATACATACAGACATATATGTACACACATTCTTCACTACAGACAGAAACACAGAAAAGCATACCTACAGACAGAAACACAGAAAAGCATACCTACAGACAGAAACACAGAAAAGCATACCTACAGACAGAAACACAGAAAAGCATACCTACAGACAAACATATACACACATATATGTACCCATATACATATATGTATACATATTATAGATCATTTTCCAACTTATTCAAGACGATCTTCACTTTCCCTAAACTTCTAACTTTCTCTCCTAGAGTAACAAGGTACCTTACAGGTTTCACATATAATTTCATTTCCAAGTCTTTTTCCACTGCTTTTTAGAATGTCATAGCTGAAACTTCTCTCTCGTGTGCCAAATGTCTTATGGGTTGAGTTGGATCTTTTCTAATTGATCTCTTTAGCTCTAAGTTAAAGTGATGATCCTTCTTGTTGTTGTGACTTCCTAATCCAGTTTTCCTCTGTACTGTTCCCTCTTTTTTAAACTTATTCACCATTCTTTTAATGGTTCTTGAATAGACTTTGAAGATGGAAGCCAGAGTGTGAATGTTTGTACCATCACTGAAAGCCTGAATGATCTTTCCTCTCTCACCATTGCTCAGTTGGGAAGATTTAAAACGATTTTAACCAGTTCTCTTTGTAGCTGAATAACTCAAAGGTTATATATATATATATATATATTGACCACTAATATTATATATATATATATATATATATATATATATATATATATATATATATAAAAAATCTGAAGATCCATTAGGTGGAACCTTGGTAGGTAGTTTCTGGCTCACTAGAATTTTTTATATTTTGCTCTACTTAGTGTAATTGAGCACTTTTACATTTTTTCTTATTTTACTCTAATGTTTTTGTTTTTTTTTCTTTTGGCTAGGCATTGCAGAGTTGGGTGGGTTTTTTTTACCAACATGGATGTTTTTAGTCTTTTCTTTTTTTTCTGAATTTTTCCCTGATACCAGTTTATTTAAATATAATTTTATTTTCAAATTATACTATCCAGGTTTTTTTTCAACACTAGTTGCGTATAAGTATATATATATATATATATATATATATATACACACACACAAGTATATAATTGGTGTATACGGAATGAATTCCAATAACCAACAATTACTATTCTTAAAAGAGTGCTATATATATATATATGCATACATATACATGCATGTGTGTATGTATGTACTACCCAAAATTTCAGTGAATTTAACCAAGAAAAAAGTTACTTGCTCTCAAATATTTTCCTCCAATTCCTTTGAAGTAATCCCCTTGTGAGGATATTAACTTGTTTTGCCCCATTCAAATTTGCTGACCACCTTTTGTGTGAAGCACTTTGTTTCTACAATACATGTGGTGTGTTGTAACTTGAATTTCAGCTAAAAATGCTTATGATCATTTTAAGAAAGGCATGTATTCACTTCTCCTTGTATCCTGTCCCAGGGCCAGATATTTTGTCAAAAAAGCATGGGTGAAGGCACACTTGGATAATATCACTCTAGTGATCGTTCTGGAAGCTTTTAAAGTTGCTAGACGGCTTGCCATTGAGTGACTATAAAGTTCCCCCATTTAGCTATGAGAGGTAGTTTTATTTCTGACAGTTAAGGAGCACATGAGAGACTTTGCTTATAAAGGAAGAATTAGCGTGTTTTCTGTCCAGGCAGTTACAGCATAAAGTTGTTACACCTATAGTCAACCTTGGAAAAATTCAGTAGGATATCTACAGTAAATGCTTGATTTAATGGTGAATAGTGTGTATGTGATTGAAAGGAGAATAAAAAAGCCTACCATCCAACCACTGGTGAGGGGTCCACGGCCAGTTTTTTCTGATTTGAATATTTTAAGGTCCTGAAAGAAAAATAAATCAATTTTCAGAATCAAAGGAAATTTTTAATGCAAAAATGAAGTCCCAAATTAAGAAAGAAAGTGAAAACAAAAATTTTTAAAAAAAGCAAAAGATTAAACATATATAAAAAAAATAAATTTATTTTCACTGGGTGCCCAATGCTCAGTACTTGTTATAAAAAGATTAATTTGATGAACTGAAATTTTTCTTCTTTTTTTTTTTACATTAAAATTTTTTACTTATTTAAATTAAAATTATTCTTTTAAAATAAAAGAAATAAATATGACAAATTATCAAAAAGTAACATTATAATTCAAAACTGCATTTATCCATTATTGGCTCTACTACAATTGTTTAATGAATAAATTTTCTTCACATAAAAAGACCAAAGACTATCAAGCCAAATCTCATTCAACACATTTCATCTAACCCACCAACAACATGGAGCAAGTTGAAATAATAATTTTTATATCCATTTACTTTTTGCTCATACCTCTCTCATATCAGTTTAAACTCATACCTGACAATATATGGAAAATCGTAACTATTTTGCTTAAAGTTTATATTTTCTTGATTTCAGATGAAAACTTTAGAATTTCCCAAGATATTTCAGTGAAATTTTCCCTTTCCAATTTATAAATTGGAATAAAGACCATCATTTTAAACTAACACAAAGATGATATGGGTTTATATTATGCATAACATTTTTTAAAAGTTGCTTATATATCTAATATTAAGTATGAACAAAAATTCTAATATGTACAATAAATGTATATTAAAAAAAAATGTAACTCATTTTTTTAATTTTATAAAATATTAAAAATGGTTACAAATAATAAAAAGAAGGCCATCTTACAAAAAAAAATATTTACAAAAAGGGAAACAAAACTGGCTTTTATAAATGCTGCCAAAGGATTTCTGCTTTAAAACCTTTTATTTCAGCATTTGATTTATTTTTTATCTATTTCAGCATTTGATACAATATGTTTTTGTAAAGAGACATTTTCAAATGGGAAGGAATATTAAATCTGCATATAGGTCAGCTTTAACTGATCAACATTTACTGCTAATTTTGATGGGAGGAAGTACAAATTTGAAATCATAGTTTAACTAATTTTTATCTAAGAAAAAAAATTTCATCATATTCATTGGTTCTTCACTTAACTATACAACTAACAATTAATTACAACAAGCTACAAAAAAAAAAAATAAATAATTGAACCAGTTGGCATTGTACATTGTATGAAAACTTTGATTGTGATTGTTTTTTCTTTCTTCAAAATGAATAAATGTTTACCTGTATATTATTTAGAGCATGCAAACCAAAGTAATGTTCAGGATATAGAACTGGTTGGTTTATTGGTTTGTTTTACAGCATATCAACACCTCAATGGGTTATTTAATGTTCACAAGATATGTTCGTATGAATAGAGTACGTATTCACTGTAAGAAATGAGTTTGTAGATCAGGTTTCATTGATGTATTTTTGTAAAGAGAGTTTTTGTCAAGAATTAAATGTATTGCTGGTAATATTTTTTTTTCAAAAATGTATTGCTGGTATTTTTACTATAAAAATCTATTTTTACACTTTCATAGTGTTTTGACCCCAGTTTGGGGGATTAACTATTTGTCCTTAGTGTGGACCCTAACAGATGCTACCACCTCGGGTCAGGCTGGAACTGGGAATAACAGTAATTAAGAGGTGATTCTACGCTTCCCAAACCTTCCAATCTTCTGATCAGAGGCTTTGCCGCTAGATGTAAATATACACTGCGTGCAAAATTATTATTGAGATAACTAAATGAAGTGGCCAGCAAATTCTCCGGATTTGAACCCAATTGAAAACCTTTAGAGCATCATGAAGCGAAGACTGTATGCAAACAAACAACAATTCAGGAGCAACGCTGAGTTGTGGGAAGCAATTCTTGACATATCTCGCGGCATTACAGCAGATGACATCCTACAATTAACAAATTCTATGGATCTTCGACTTCTTCAAGTAATTTCAAAACAGGGAAAGCACATTCCCTATTAATTTGTTTAAAACTGTGCCTTTGTTTGTATCTGTTATTATTTGTTTGATTATCTTATTTATTAGCTTCTTTTGATCATAAACATTCATTTGCAACATTAATAAACGTTTTGTTTGCTCAATTCTGGGAATTGTACTAAACCTTTCTAATAATTTGGCACACTCAAATCACCACGATGATAACAAATATGGCGCCATTTGTTTACATTGCGCAGATCAGTACGAAAATTTCAGTGATTGCGCAGGTCAATGTTGCCAACATTGTGTGAAAATTTTGTTTGAATTGATTCGATGGTTTTTGAAATATTAGAAAAAAAAGTTATCTTGATAATAATTTGGCATGCAGTGTAGAACTTATTGCTTAGTAAATGACTGTATAAACATTCAGAAATATATGAGAAATGTTACAAAAGGTGTAAAAGTGTCATTAATGCTATCTGAAGCTGATTGACACATACATACCCATTACATCTGTAGTATGCCTGAAATAGCAGGCAAATACAAATTCTTAGTGACAAGTTCAGAACAGAATATTATCATTAAGTGAGGAGTGGCTGCATAACAATTTATATATTGCTCTTTTCCCCCATAAACAGACAGTTAAAAACCTTAACTAACCTCTTCTGGTTTGTAATGATGTTCAGCAATTTCCTCCATAACAATGTCAACGATGTCAACTTCCCTCTGTTCGAGGTCTTCATTGTCAAGATTAATGACCTAGAAAAAGAAAGAAACATTTACAAATTCACACACATACTATCAGCTTCAATTACTATGTAAAAAGTAAAGTTCAAAAAGCAGAAAATTATTCAGAATTTATTTATATTTACAGTCTGATGCTTGTTGCTTGGAAATCACATTTATCTCTTCTATGCCAGGATAACAGAATTACCAAAATACATATTAAGCAATTTATAATGCTAGTCTTTTAGTAATATTAATTCCTGCCTATATATTTTTAGATTCTAGCCATCTAGATTACTTCCCTTGAATACTTTCAACAACAACAGCAGCAACAAAAATGGATGGCTCATGAAAATAATGATATAATAAGGCTGTTAACTTTCCACTTTACCAAAAACAAAAAAATTGAAAGGAAACTACAATCAATATTAGAAAGAGCTACAACATTTTGTGAACTTGAGAAGTTTGATTTCTCCAAAAATTGTTTTGGTAAAAGATTTTATAAGATTTAATTTTAGCTGTTCAGTCAATGAATGCTAAATGTTTCCTTTATGGAAATGACTAATTTTATCATTATCATAGTAAATCATTAGCAATGTATTTATATCATAAATATCATCACTGTTCTGTCGGCAATTTTTGCCATAATTCTTGACAACATAATTCTTCATGATTTTCAAGACAACATACAAACTGATTGCAGAAATTTATGAAATTAAAGATTTTAGAATAAAAACTGCCAAATTCATTTTCTCTTTCTGCCCTGAGTATGTTATTTCAGAAAAGGAAGGAAGCTGGAAATGGGATAAGTAAAGACAGTGGGCAATAAAAAAAAAAAATGAAAATAAAACATTACCTATAGTATTTAATGGCATTAAAGCACTAGACCACCCACCCCTCCACATTTTAGTAAGGAACATTAAGTAAAAAAAAAAAATTGAATATTACTTGAATTTCATCCATGTTCTTTATTTGAAGTTTCTTTTTTGGACATTTATTACAAATTTGTGAAGGTAAGAAAAAAAAAAGATTTTATATATATTAAAAAAGTGGGCCTTCATTCCATTAAAAAGTATACATCACTAGCCATTTAAAAAGTGAGTCATACATGATATTAAAAATATATCCCATAAAATAATGTTGGGTTCAAATATTGTCAACAGTAAAATACAATTAGAGTTTCTTATCTTGCTAGATTTTACTATGTTAGTATAGATGTAATCATTAATTCACATTCAAATGAATGTTTTGGCAATATTTAGCCTTAATTGTGTATCAAAAGGATGGTTTTCCCTTTGACACCATGATTATTTTAACTACCTTCACTCCTCATAAATGTTAATTGTTTTAGAAGGCAATGATCCTTTTGACACATTGTTTTTTTTTGCAGGTGCAAAGTTTAAAGATTGCCAAAGTTTTGATGTAATTATTTAAAACATTCAAATACTTTTCTACATAATCCGAACATGATAAATGACTGATGTGAAATATCTAAAAGTATCTAAGATGGAATATGTGAAAACCATTTGGATATTGAAAATTTTTAATTTCATGCTGCTATTTCACTCCTAGTCTACTAAATAGATGAATTGCTCATCTTTATATTGTAGACGACTTGTAGATGACTTCTGGTGACATGGAAATTATTTTTGGGAGATGTAGAAATTGTTAATTTAATATTCAGAAAATTTTGAACAAGGTTTTTGATATTTTATAAATAGAAGGCAATTATAAATTACTTAAATATGACCATCATTTACTAAACTAGTATATATACTTTCGTCATTATTGGCTGCATAAAGATTTTATATGAAAATACTTAGTGCAGAAAAAATTAAAGTTTCATTTACAAGGTAATGAAAAAAGTCCTTGTTGTTTTTTAAGTCGTGTGGGAGAAGTGACCAATAATATGCAAATGAGTGCATTATGTACAAGGAAAGTGATGGAGGATGGGGGTCACGCTCTTGACTAATGCAGGTGCATTGTGCACACACGTCAGTCATAATTCGAGCAGCAGTGAGGAAACATGACAGTATCGAAGCAGCTCATTTGGTGTTGTCTGCTTTATATTAAGGTGGGCTTCTCTGCTGCTGCATCAAGTCACTGAATATGTTAAGCCTTTAGTGATAATGCTGTGAGTGTTATGAATGAATGCACTGCCAGGAAGTGGTTCCAGACATTCAGGTCAGGAGATCTGTCACTTTGTGATGAACCCTGCAGTGACCAGCCACAGGTTCTGAATGATGAGACCCTGAAGGCAGCCATAGAGGAGAAACCTGTGGTGAGTTTGCTGAAAGCTTCCAGGCTTCTGATGTAACAGTTAAACTTCACCTGCACCACATGGGGAATGCGTACAAGTGGGTAACCCACAAACTATTGACAACCAACAAGCAACAATGAGTGACAGCCTGTTACTTGTTGCTTTCTCAGTACCACAACATATCCTTATTTAATTGAGTGCTCACCAGTGATGAAAAGTAAATCCTGTATGACACTTACAAGCATGCCAGACATTGGTTGTAACCACTGGACCCTGTACCTCATCCCACAAAACCACCTCTACACCAACAGAAGATCATGCTTTGTATCTGGTGGACTAGTTAACAAGTGGTGCACTATGAGTTGCTACCAATGGGTCAAACTATCACTGCAAACCTGTACTCACAGCAGTTGGAACATGTTCAGCAGGCACTGAAGCAGAAGGAGCCAGCATTGGTTAATCACAAAGGTGTACTGTTCTTGCATGACAATGCCAGACCTCATATGGCACAGATGGCCAGAGATACTATATGGTAACTTGGCTGGAAGACACTGATTACCACCTCCTCCATTCCCTGGACAACCATCTTCATGGGAAATCTTTTGCAAATGAGATAGACTTGCGATAGACACTGACAGACCTTTTTTGAATCCAAGGCACCTGATCTTTATGACTAGGGTATTGTGCAGCTGGAGGCATGTTGACAAAAGGTTCTGGATACCAATAAGGAAATTACTTTGAGGATTAACGGTATGTCAAATTTTGGTTACCTTGTAGATCAGGGGTCCCCAGAGTGGTTGATATTGATCTCTGGGGGTCGATAGGACTATCAAGGAGTTTGATATATGTTTGGTGGTCAGAAGGGTGTTGATAAATAAACCATGATAACTTACAATAAAAGTTTACAAATTTCTAACCAAATATCAATGCCCTTGCAATTACTTAGTAAACACATCCTCCCTCTAAAGGATGTCAACTAATTCAATAAAAATGTATAATCATTTATTTTGAATGTGGTTATTATTACTTATATTATTTATAAAGTTTTTCTCTTTTTTTAAAAAATCATTTCACCCCAAGCAAAGCAATAAAGTGACTAAGATGCAAAGGGTTACTGAGTTTTAGAGTATATGAGAAAAAGAAAACATTATTAAAGAGAAAGAGCACTAAAAGAATAAGATCAAGACATGATAATGATTGACATTGCAATTTTTGAAGTTGGTTGGAAAGCAAGAGGCTGGAAGAGATTTCCACAAGCAAGAAGTGTAAGAGAAGAAACTGTTAGCATAGAACTTACATTGAGTCATTTCAACTGTAAAATGATGAGACCTTGCTTCCAATCTAGTACCACACTTAAATTCATAAAGTTGAGGTAACAAAGAGGAAAACTCATCAGAAGAATAACCATGAAAATATTTATCAAAAAGGCACATGGAAGCTACGTCACAGTAATGGGAAAGTGACTGAAGACGAGATGCCAGGTCAAGACCAATAACATTGCAGATTCTTTGTATTTTATCAAGAATCTCTAAATATATAACACAAACCCCAGACCAGATGTGGCAGCAATATTCAATGCATGGATGAATGGTAGATTTATAAATGTGCAAGATAGATTTTGATGAGAAAAATTATCTAGCATGACACAGTAAACCAACGTTCACTATTTATTATTATTATTCAAACAAACACATCTCATATAGAGAAATAGAAAATGGAATAACAAAATGTAAAATTAAATGGATCTTATCGAAAAACAATAATGGAAAAGGGGTAACTGAACTTCTATCCTTAAATAAAAAATTATCATTGATTTATTTTCTGTACATGTCTGGGGTCAGTGAAGTATGAAGGATACCATGAAGAAAAACAAAATTTTAAATGTTGCTTGCTATAGGATTATTGATAACATACTCATCTGGTGAGATTCATTGATACTAATAATCTTAAGGCATCAACCCAACTTTCCCTGAGGCATGTCTCATTCCTAGCCATCTTGACTATGATATTATTGATAGGCAACAAAAGTAGACAAGGATAGTGTACTACAAGTGTATATCACAATAATCCTATACAAATCCCTATTTAAAAAAAAAAGATTAAGAAAAAAAATGGTTTCAGAGAAATCTGAGCAAACTACAGAATTTCCTTGTTTATCAATTTCCAGAGAAGGAAATGGGTCTTCATAATTCTTATTGTTAATGAATATAACCTCATACTATCTGTATAAAAAAAAGAAGCTTTTGACAGTTTCAATTTGTATGCATAACTAGATAGAAGGCATTGCATAATTAATTGCCTTGGGGGAATTATTTGTATTTTTATAAAGGGAAAAGTCAGTTTGGACAAATAATGTTTGTATCCAACAGGGAATTTGAATTTCTTTTGTCCATTCTCCAAACGAGACCTTCCGGAATACATTCATGAATATCACAACATGAATTTCTGGCTGTATCGATTGTTGACAATTTTTGAACTCTTTTCAAAAGAGATAGAATTGTTCATACAAGATTCTCAGATAAAAGGCACATTAACATGGGTAATATATGACCCCCATGATGATAGTGAATAAGTGTATCCATCTTTTGGACATTGGCACAATATTCTTTTTCCAATTATCCCCATATAAAAAATGCAATGATTATTCACATATATTTGTGAGTGTAACACTTTTGTAAGTAACCAGAAGAAAAGTTCACTAAATGAATGAATTACTCATCTCTATGTTGTGAACTCTTCCACTAACATGGAAATTATTCTTTCACAGATGTAA